GGGCGCCCTCACACTGCACAAGGCGCCCTCACACTGCACCCAAGGCGCCCTCACACTGCACAAGGCGCCCACTCACTGCACAAGGGGGGCCTCACACTGCACAAGGCGCCCTCAACACTGCACAAGGGGGGCTCACACTGCCCCAAGGCGGCCTCACACTGCACAAGGCGGCCTCACACTGCACAAGGCGGCCTCACACTGCAACAAGGCGCCCCACCCCTGGCATAAGGCCCCTCCCCACTGCACAAGGCGCCCTCACACCTGCACAAGGCGCCCTCACACTGCCAAGGCGGCCTCAAAACTGCCCCAAGGCGGCCCCACACTGCACAAGGCGCTCTCACACTGCACAAGGCGCCCTCACACTGCACAAAGCGCCCTCACACTGCACAAGGCGGCCTCACACTGCACAAGGCGGCCTCACACTGCACAAAGCGGCCTCACACTGCACAAGGCGGCCTCACACTGCACAAAGCGGCCTCACACTGCACAAAGCGGCCTCACAGTGCACAAGGCGGCCTCACACTGCACAAGGCGGCCTCACACTGCACAAAGCGGCCTCACACTGCACAAAGCGGCCTCACACTGCACAAGGCGGCCTCACACTGCACAAGGCGCCCTCACACTGCACAAGGCGCCCTCACACTGCACAAGGCGGCCTCACACTGCACAAGCCGGCCTCACACTGCACAAGGCGGCCTCACACTGCACAAGGCGGCCTCACACTGCACAAGGCGCCCTCACACTGCAAAAAGGCGGCTCACACTGCACAAGGCGGCCTCACACTGCACAAGGCGGCCTCACACTGCACAAGGCGGCCTCACACTGCACAAGGCGCCCTCACACTGCATAAGGCGCCCTCACACTGCACAAGGCGCCCTCAAAACGCACAAGGCGGGCCCCCCCCACTGCAAAAAGGCGGTCTCACACTGCACAAGCGGGGCCCCACACTGCACAAGGCGCTCTCACACTGCCAAAGGGCGCCCTCACACTGCACAAAGCGCCCTCACACTGCACCAAGGCGGCCTCACAACGCACAAGGCGGCCCTCACACTGCACAAAAGCGGCCTCACACTGCACAAGGCGGCCTCACACTGCACAAAGCGGCCTCAACTGCACAAAGCGGCCTACACGCACAAAAGGGGGCCTCACACTGACAAGGCGGGCCCCCACTGCCAAACTGCCTCACCTGCACAAAGCGGCCTCACACTGCACAAGGCGGCTCACCTGCCAAGGCGCTCCAACTGCACAAGGCGCAATCACCCCTGCACAAAGGGCCCCCACCGCACAAGGCGCCCCCACACTGCACAAGGGGGGCCCCACATGCACAAGGCGGCCTCACACTGCACAAGGGGCCTCACACTGCACAAGGGGCCCCCACTGACGGCGGGGCCCCACCTGCACAAGGCGGCCTCACACGCACAAGGGGGCCTCACACTGACAAAGGGGCTCTACACGCCAAGGCGCCCTCACACTGCCAAGGCCCCTCACAGCACAATGCGCCCTCACCCCTGCAAAGCGCCCCCAATGCACAAGCGCCCTCACACGCACAAGGGCCCCCACATGCACAAGGGGGCCCCCACCGCACAAGGCGGCCCCACTGCACAAAGGCGGCCCCACACTGCACAAGGGGGCCTCACACGCACAAGGCGCTTCCCTGCAGAAGGCGCCCTCACACTGCAGAAGGGGCCCCCACACTGCACAAGGGGCCCCCCACACGCACAAGGCGCCCTCACACGCACAAGGCGGCCCACACGCCAAGGCGGCCCACACTGCACAAAGGGGCCCTCACACTGCCAAGGCGGCCTCACACTGCACAAGGCGGCCTCCACTGCACAAGGGGGCCCCACATGCACAAGGGGCCCTCACACTGCACAAAGGGGCTCTCACACTGCACAAGGGGCCCTCCACTGACAAGGGGCCCTCACATGCCAAGGGGGCCTCACACTGCCAAAAGGGGGCCTCACATGCCAAGGCCTCTCACACTGCACAAGGCCCCTCACACTGCACAAAAGGGCCCTCACATGCACAAGGCGGCCTCACCTGCACAAAGGGGGCCTCACAGCACAAAGCGGCCTCACATGCCAAAGGGGGCCTCCCATGCACAAAGGGGGCCCCCAACTGCACAAAACGGCCTCACACTCACAAAGGGGGCCTCCACTGCACAAGGCGGCCCCCACACTGACAAAGCGGCCCACACTGCACAAGGGGGCCTCACACTGACAAGGCGGCCTCACACTGCACAAAACGGCCTCACACGCACAAGGCGGCCTACACTGCCAAGGCGGCCCCCCACTCACAAGGCGGCCTCACACTGCACAAAAGGGGGGCCTCACACGACAACCGGGCCCCACCCGCCAAGGCGGCCTCACAGTGCCCAAGGCCCTCCCCCACTGCCAAGCGCCCTCACAGCACAAGGGGGCCCCAACTCCAAGGGGGCCTCCACTGCACAAGGCGGCCTCACAATCACAAGGGGCCCCCCACTGCACAAGCGCCCTCACACTGCATAAGTCGGGGCCCCCGTGACAAGGGGCCCACACTGCACAAGGCGCCCTCACATGCACAAGGCGGCCTCACACTGCACAAGGCGCCTCACACTGCACAGGGCCCTCACATGACAAAGGGGCCTCCACTGCACAAGGCGCCCTCACACTGCCAAAAACGGCCTCACAGTGCAGAAGGCGGGCCCCAACTGACAAGGGCCCCACATGCACAGCCGGCCTTCAATGCACAAGGCGGCCTCACACTGCACAAGGGGGCCTCCCTGCACAAGGGGCCCTCACATGCACAAGGCGCCCCTCACACTGCACAAGGCCCCTCACATGACAAGGGGCCCTCACACTGCCAAGCGGGCCTCACACTGACAAGGCGGCCCACACTGACAAGGCCCTCACCCTGCACAGGCGGCCTCACACTGCACAAGGCGCCCCCCCACTGCACAAGGCGGCCCCCCCTGCACAAGGCCCCTCACACTGCACAAGGCGGCCTCACACGCACAAGGCGCCCTCCCACTTGCACAAGGCGGCCTCACACTGCACAAGGGGCCCTCCAGCACAAAGGGGGGGCCCCACACGCCAAGGCGCCCCCACAGTGCACAAGGCGGCCCCAAAACTGCACAAGGCGCCCCCACACTGCACAAGGGCCCTCACACTGCCAAGGCGGCCTACACTGACAAGGCGCCCAATGACAAGGCAACCCTCACACTGCACAAGGCGCCCTCACACTGCACAACCCCTCAACTGCACAAGGCGCCCCCAACTGCACAAGGCGCCCCACACTGCACAAGGCGCCCTCACACTGCACAAGGCGCCCTCACCCCTGCACAAGGCCCCTCACCTGCCAAGGGGCCTCACACGCCCAAGGCGCCCCCTCCCCCACGCACAAGGCGGTCACACGCACAAAGGGGGCCTCACACTGCACAAGGCCCCTCACACTGCACAAGGGGCCCTACACTGCACGGCCCCCCCACGCACAAAAACCCCCTCACACGCCAAGGCGCCCCACACGGCCCAAGGGGCCCTCAATGCCAAGGCCCCACACGCCAAGGGGCCCTCCCTGCACAGGCCCTCACCCTGCCAAGGCGGCCCCACCCTGCACAAAAGGGGCCCCCCACACTGCAAAGGCGCCCCACACTACACAAGGCGCCCTCACACTGCACAAGGGGTCAACGAAAGGGGGGGCCCCCAACTGCAGAAAGGGGCCCCAACTGCACAAAACGGCCCCACACGCCCAAGGGCCCTCACACTGCACAAGGCGCCCCCACACTACACAAAGGGGCCCTCACACGCACAAGGCGGCCTCACACTGCAGAAGGCGCCCTCACACTGCACAAGGCGGCCTCACATGCACAAGGCGCCCCCACACTGCACAAAGGGGCCCTCACAACACAAGGCGCCCCCACACTGCAAAGGCGGCCTCACACTGCAGAAGGCGCCCCACATGACAAGGCGCCCTCCACTGCACAACGGCCTCACACTCACAAGGCCCCTCCACTGCAAAGGCGCCCTCACACACACAAGGCGCCCCAACGCACAAGGGGGCCCCAACTGCAGGAAGGGCCCCTTTACACTGACAAGGGGGCCCCAATGACAAGGCGCCCTCACACCACAAGGCGCCCCCAACTGCACAGGGGCCCTCCACTAACAAGGCGCCCCTCACACGCACAAGGCGGCTCACACTGCCCAAAAGGCGCCCCTACACGCACAAAGGGGCCCTCACTGCACAAGGCGGCCTCCACTGCCAGGCGCCCTCACCTCACAAGGCGCCCCCCACACTGCACAAGGGGGGCCTCCCCCACTGCACAAGGCCCCCAAAGCACAAGGGGCCCTTTACACGGGACAAGGCCCCCCACACTGCACAAGGGGGCCTCACACGCACAAGGCGCCCCCGCAGCAAAGGCCCCTCACACTGCACAAGGCGGCGTCACACTGCACAGGCGCCCTCACACTGCACAAGGCGGCCTCACACTGCACAAGGCGCCCTCACACTGCACAAGGCGCCCTCCACCCGCACAAGGCGGCCTCACACTTTCAGAAGGCGGCCTCACACTGCACAAGGCGCCCTCACACTGCACCCAAAGGGGGCCCCCACACTACACAAGGCGGCCTCACACTGCACAAGGCGGCCTCACACTGCACAAGGCGCCCTCACACTACACAAGGCGGCCTCACACTGCACAAGGCGCCCTCACACTGCACAAGGCGGCCTCACACTGCACAAGGCGCCCTCCACTGCACAAGGCGGCCCCCACACTGCACAAGGGCCCTCACACTGCACAAGGCGCCTCACACTGCAGAAGGCGGCCTCACATGCAGAAGGCGGCCTCACACTGCAGAAGGGGGCCTCACACTGCAGAAGGCGGGCCCAAAATGCAGAAGGCGGCCTCACACTGCAGGAAGGCGGCTCACACTGCACAAGGCGGCCTCACACTGCACAAGGCGGCCTCACACTGCACAAGGCGGCCTCACACTGCAGAAGGCGGCCTCACACTGCAGAAGGCGGCCTCACACTGCAGAAGGCGGCCTCACACTGCAGAAGGGGGCCTCACATGCACAAGGCGGCCTCACACTGACCAAGGCGGCCTCAACTGCACAAGGCGGCCTCACACTGCAGAAGGCGGCCTCACACTGCAGAAGGGGGCCCCACACTGCAGAAGGCGGCCTCACACTGCAGAAGGCGGCCTCACACTGCAGAAGGCCGGGGCCCCACACTGCGAAGGCGGCCTCACACTGCAGAAGGCGGCCTCACACTGCAGAAGGCGGCCTCACACTGCAGAAGGCGGCCTCACACTGCACAAGGCGGCCTCACACTGCAGAAGGCGGCCTCACACTGCAGAAGGCGGCCTCACACTGCAGAAGGCGGCCTCACACTGCACAAGGCGCCTCACACTGCACAAGGCGGCTCACATCTGCAAAAGCGGCCTCACACTGCACCAAGCGGCCTCACACTGCACAAGGCGGCCTCACACTGCACAAGGCGGCCTCACACTGCACAAAGCGGCCTCACACTGCACAAGGCGGCCTCACACTGCACAAGGCGGCCTCACACTGCACAAGGCGCCCTCACACTGCACAAGGCGCCCTCACACTGCACAAGGCGCCCTCACACTGCACAAGCGGCCTCACACTGCACAAGGCGCCTCACACTGCACAAGGCGGCCTCACACTGCACAAGGCGGCCTCACACTGCACAAGGCGGCCTCACACTGCACAAGGCGGCCTCACACTGCACAAGGCGCCTCACACTGCACAAGGCGCCTCACACTGCACAAGGCCCTCACACTGCACAAGGCGGCCTCACACTGCACAAGGCGCCCTCACACTGCACAAGGCGCCCTCACACTGCACAAGGCGGCCTCACACTGCACAAGGCGGCCTCACACTGCACAAGGCGGCCTCACACTGCACAAGGCGCCCTCACACATGCACAAGGCGCCTCACACTGCACAGGGCCCTCACACTGCACAAGGCGGCCTCACACTGCACAAGGCGGCCTCACACTGCACAAGGCGGCCTCACACTGCACAAGGCGCCCTCACACTGCACAAGGCGCCCTCACACTGCACAAAGCGCCCTCACACTGCACAAGGCGGCCTCACACTGCACAAGGCGGCCTCACACTGCACAAAGCGGCCTCACACTGCACAAGGCGCTGCACGCCAAGCGGCCTCACACTGCCAAGCGGCCCACAGTGCAGGCGGCTCACACTGCAAAGGCGGCCTCACATGCAAAGGCGGCCCCCACACTGCACAAGGCCCTCACACTGCACAAGGCGGCCTCACACTGCACAAGGCGGCCTCACACTGCCCAAAGGCGGCCCCCACACTGCACAAGGCGCCCTCACACTGCAAAGGCGGCTCACACTGCACAAGGCGGCCTCACATGCACAAGGCGGCCTCACATGCCAAGGGCCCTCACATGCACAAGGCGGCTTCACCACTGCAAGGCGGCCTCCAAAATGAAAAGGCGGCCCCCCCACTGCAAAGGCGGCCTCACTGAAAGGGGCCTCACATGCTAAGGCGCCCTCACATGCAAAGGCGTACTCCGGGGCCTCAATGCCGGCCTCCATGAAAAGGGGGCCCCCATGCAAAGGGGCTCCAACTGCACAACGGCCAACTGAAAAAGCGCCCCCACCTGCAAAGGCGGCCCACACTGCAAAGGCGGCCTCACACTGCACAAAACGGCCTCACACTGCCAAGGGGGCCCCCATGCCCAAAGCGGCCCCACACTCCCCAAAAGGGCATCACATGACAACGGCCTCACCTGCACAAGGGGGCCTCACCTGCCAAAGGCCCCACACTGCACAAAAGCGGCCTCACACTGCACAAGGCGGCCCCCACCTGCCAAGGGCCTACATGCGGCCCAAAAAAACCCAAAGGGCCCCACCTGCACAAAGGGGCCCCCACACTGAAAAAGGCGGCCTCACATGCCAAGGCGGCCTCACACTGCACAAAGGGGGCCCACACTGCACAGGCGCCTCACATGCACAAAGGGGGCCCCCACACGCACAAGGGGCCCCCCCATGCCCCAAGGCGGGCCCCACGCACAAGGCGCTTTAAAACTGACAAAGGCGCCCACACTGCACAAGGCGCCTCACACTGCACAAGGGCGCCCTCACTGCACAAGGCGCCCCACTGACAAAGGCGCCCCCACAGCACAAAGGGGGCCTCACCGCACAAGGCGGCCCCACATGCACAAGGCGGCTCACACTGCAAAGGCGGCCTAACTGACAAGGGGGCCCTGCCCCGCAATAAAGGCGCCTCACACTGCAAAGGGGCCCCCAATGCACAAAGGGGGCCCCACATGCACAAGGGGCCTACACTGACAGGCGGCCTCACATGCCAAGGGGCCTCACACGCACAAGGCGCCCCCCATGCACAAGGCGGCTCCACTGACAAGGCGGCCCCACATGCCAAGGCGGCCCACACTCCAAAACCCTCACATGACAAGGGGCCTTTACATGCCCAAAGGGGCCTCAATGCACAAGGCGCCTAAATGCCAAGGGGCCTCACACTGCAAGGGGCTCCCTGCAAGGCGCCCCACACTGCACAAAGGGGCCTCACACTGCAAAAAACCCCCAATGACAAGGGGCTCACACGCACAGGCGGCCTCACACTGCACAAAACGGCCCCCATGCACAAGGCGGCTCACATGCACCAAAGGGGGCCCCCACATGCACAAAGCGGCCCACACTGCACAAAGGCCGGCCTCCACTGCACAAGGGGGCCTACACTGCACAAGCGGCCCCCACTGCCAAGGCGCCTCACAATGCCCAAAGGGGGGCCTCACATGCACAAAAACGCCTCACACGCACAAAGGCCCCTCACACTGCACAAGGGGTCCATGCACAAGGCGGCCTAAAACTGCCAAGGGGGCCTTTTTAAAATGCCCCAAGCCCCCTCACCTGCACAAGGGGCCCACATGCAAAGGGGGCTCACAAGCAAAAGCGCCTCACCTGCACAAGGGGGCCTCACACTGCCAAGGGGGGCCCCACACTGCAAAGGGGGCCTCCTGGGGGACCAACTGCAACCCCAAGCGGGGTCCATGCACAAGGGGGCCCACTGCAAAGGCGCCCCACACTCACAAAGGGGCCCCACTGCAAAGGGGGCCCACTGACAAGGCGCCCTCACATGCACAAAGGGGCCTCACACTGCACAAAGGGCCCTCACACTGCACAAGGCGGGGCCCCAATGCAAAAGGGGCCCTCCACGCAAAAGGCGCCCCAACGCACAAGCGGCTCACATGCACAGGCGGCCTCCCCTGCACAAGGCGGCCCCACACTGCAAAGGGCCCCCCCCACTGCACAAGGGGCCCACACTGACAAGGCGCCCCCAACTGACAAGGCGCCCTCACATGCACAAGGGCCCCCATGAAAGGCGGCCCTCCATGCACAAGGGGCCCTCACACTGCACAAAAGGGGGCCCACACTGCACAAGGGGCCCTCACCTGCACAAAGGGGGCCTCCACTGCCAAGGGCCCTACACTGAAAGGGGCCCCAATGGGCCCCCCCACAAAGGGGGCCTCACACTGCACAAGGCGCCTCACCTGCAAAGGCGGCTCCCATGCAAAGGCGCCCTACTGCAAAGGCGGCCCCCACACTGCCAAGCGCCTCACATGCACAAGGCGCCCCACACTGACAAACGGCCCCACATGCACAAGGGGGCCCCCCACGCACAAAAGGGCCCCCCACATGCACAGGGCCTCACACGCACAAAGGCGCCCTAAATGCACAAGGGGCCCCCCCCACTGCACAAGGCGCCCTCACACTGCACAAGGCGCCCCAATGCACAAAGGGGCCCTCACACGCAAAGGCGCCCCACACGCAAAGGCGGCCCCACATGCAAAGGGGGCCCCCACACGCCCCAAAGGGCCTCACATGCACAAGGCGCCCCCACACTGCACAAAACGCCCTCAATGACAAGGCGCCCCCACACTGCCAAAGGGGCCCCCCCATGCACAAGGGGCCCCCACAGCACAAGGCCCCTACACTGCACAGCGCCCCAATGCACAAGGGGCCCCCACAGACAAGGCGCCCCACACTGCACAAGGGCCCCTCACTGCCAAAACGGCCTCCCCTCACAAGGCGCCCACCTGCACAAGGGGCCCCCCCACCCAAAAAAGGGCCTCCCCCTGACAAGGCGGCCCCCCATGCAAAAGGGGCCTCACTGCAAAGGCGCCCTCACCTGCACAAAACCTCACCCCTGCACAAGGGCCCCCCATGCCAAGGCGCCCCACAAAAAGGCCCCCCCCCAAAAGGGGGGGGGCGCCCCCACATGCCAAGGGGCCTACATGCACAAAGGGCCTCACACTGCACAAGGCCCTCACATCACAAGGCGCCTCAATGCACAAGGCGGCCCCAATGCAAAGGCGCCCCCCACTTTCAAGGGCCCCACCTGCACAAAGGCGGCCTCCACGCACAAGGCGCCCCTCCCTGACAAGGCGCCCCCACACTCACAAGGCCCTCACATGCACAAGGCGCCTCACCTGCAAAGGGCCCTACCTGCCCAAAACGCCCACCTGCACAAGGGCCTACATGCAAAGGCGCCTCACACTGCACAAGGCGCCCTCCACTCCCAAAAAGGGGCCCCACACTGCAAGGGCCTCACACTGACAAAGGGGCCTCACATGCCCAAAGGGGCCCTCATGCACAAGGCCCTCACACTGAAAAGGCGCCCCCCACACTCACAAAGGGCCCCACACTGCACAAGGCGGCCTCCACGACAAGGCGCCCCCACATGCACAAGGCCCCTACACGCACAAGGCGCCCCCCAATGCACAAGGGGGGGCCCCCACATGCACAAGGCGCCCCACTGCACAAGGCGGCCTCACATGCCAAGGGGGCTCACACTGCAAAGGGCCCCCCTGCACAAGGCGGCCTACATGCCAAGGCGCCCTACATGCCAAGGCGCCTCACATGCAAGGGGGCCCAATGAAAGGCGGCCTCACACCACAAGGGGCCCTCACATGCACAAAGGGGCCCACACTCACAAGGGGGCCTACACTGCACAAGGGGCCCCCAACACAAACCCCACCAACCACCTCACACTGCACAAGGCGCCCTCACACTGCACAAGGCGGCCTCACACTGCACAAGGCGCCCTCACACTGCACAAGGCGCCCTCACACTGCACAAGGGGGCGCCTCACACTGCACAAGGCGCCTCTCACACTGCACAAGGCGCCCTCACACTGCACAAGGCGGCCTCACACTGCACAAGGCGGCCTCACACT